TTTCTTCATCCTATTAGGATTTGGAACATGCATGCACACACACCTGGTGTGTTTTCCAAGCTGACTGGCCAGGATCTGGCTCCCTTAACCACTGATCTTTAGGATTGGCTCTAGTGTTCCTTATCATAGCAGAATTCTTCACAAAAATAAAATATGAACATGAGGCTGCTGTCTAAGTTTCTGAGTGGTTCATTTGTTAGCCGTACAGGGAAAGCCATTTACTGATGATGAGTTAATTAAATCCTGTTTGGGTGCAGAAATCAAAGAAATATGCTCAAGGAAAATCAAATTGCTTAAGACTCAGCCTCTCAGCAAGAACAGTGGCTCAGAGTTGAGGACAGTGAGAGCAACATCAATGGCCAAGTGAAGAACGAGACTAATGATTTCAAGTGGTTTTCCTTGGCTCTTGGTGAGTTGATACTTGTTACTGATACTCTTCAGTCGTTACTCACAGAGTGAATCCTGAGTTGAAAGTGATTGGAGAATTGGGGCCAGCAGGTGATATAGTGGTTACGGTGCTGGACTCCCACATAACTGAACATAGTTTGAGTCCTGGATCCGGAGGCTTGAAACTCACACTGTGTGTGTGTGTGTGTGTGCCCCAAATCCCAGGAGAATGGGGAAGGGATTGTGGCATGGCCATTCTGTCCCCCCGGGGGTGTGATTTCTCAGTTTCCCTCTCTCTGTCTCTCCAGAGAGTGCACAAACCCTATGGTCAAAGCCAAAAATTAAAAAAAAAAAAAAGATTGAGGAATGGGGCTGTATATACAAGGAGACTTCAAAAATTTTGTGGAAAAATGGAATTAAAGTATAAGTTTGTTTTGGAAACCATTTTGAAAGCTATACTTAGTTTTCTGGTAGTATACATTTTCCATAAACTTTTTGAAGACCCCCCCCCATATATAGTCTGTGTGTAATAACTGTCTATGAGGCTAGTTTCAAAGAAGTCAAGATAGTTCATTTAATACAGCCTGAAGTAGAATTCGGTAAGATACATTACAAATATGTATGGGGCAGGAGCAAGCTTAGTTGGACAATTATGCAAAGCTTGTGAGAATGCAGTTCTTTAAATCCTATAATTATTAACAGTATTATTCTGCAGCAGGAACTTTGCAGAAAACAGTAGAATCTATCTTGTGCTATTGAACCAGCAGTGTTAACAGTGAACTGCATTCACTCTCATGTACTAAACCATTGTAAGTTCCACGACATTATTTTCAGAAGTGGAAACTGAGTATTTCTGACTTGCCCTACTAATAGTATTTCAATAGTTTAACAGTAATACAGGTTTGTGTTTTTGTTTGTTTGCTTTTTGGGTTTTTTTAGAGAGAGATTTTTGCTATAGGGCATGTGTGCTGGCTGGGGAGACAGAGACACAGAAAGTGAGAAATCACCACCACTCCACCGGGGGATGGTCATCAATCCCTCCTCCTCCATTCTCCTCTTGGGAACTTGGGCATGCATGCACACATGACTGGTGTGAGTTTTAACCCTCCAGGTCTAGGATTCAAACCATAGTTGACTAGCGATGTAACCATTACACCATCTGCTGGTTCCAGCAGTAGTGAAGTTTTATTGAGTTTATTTTCCAGCTCAGGCCTGAGACAAACAATTTTCTGAATAAGAACCACCCTCAACTCTATTCCCTGAACGGTGAATGTTTTTTGAAATTACCTTTTGCTATAGACTTGATAATGTTTCTTAATGAATTTAACAAAAAATTACAAGGCAAAACAGTGTTTATATGTGAACCTTACACTGTAAAAAAGTAAGTTGATGACAACTAAGAGTGTTTGAATCACAAACAATGTCAGGTTGCTTTAATCACTTGTTATGCTGTCAAAAGTTAAAACAGTGATCATAATTTACATCCCCACACAAATTTACAGTGGAGAGACCACCAGTTTGTGTAATGGCTATGTTGCTGGACTCCCATGTAGTTGACCGCGGTTCGAGTTCCAGACCCAGTGGTTTAAAATTCACGCCAGGCGCATGTGTGTGCATGCCCAAGGTCCCGTGAGGAAAATGGAGGAGAAGGGATTGTAGCATGGCCATCCCCCCTGGGGGGATGATTTCTGGCTTTCTGTCTCTCTGGCAAGCGCGTGCGCCCTATAGCAAAAACCACTTAAAAAAGTTTACAGTGTAGGGACCAGCAGTTAGCGTAATGTCTATGTTGCTGGACTCCCACATAGTTGACCACGGTTTGCCTCCCGGACCTGGTGTTTTAAAACTCATGCCGGGCACGTGTGCGTGTGTGCCCAAGATCCCGAGAGGAGAGTGGAGGAGAAGGGATTACAACATGGCCATCCCCCCTGGGGGGTGATTTCTCGCTTTCTGTCTCTCTGTCTCTGTCTGTCTGGCGAGCGCACGCGCCCTATAGCAAAAACCTCTCCAAAAAAAGAAAAAAAAAAAGAAAAAAACACAAGATTTTGGTGCTATCACTTCGATTATTGAAGTTAACCACTGTAGAACGTCTCAGTGTCATTATTGTGAATTGCCTTAGGCTCCTGTTCTTTACAAAGAGAATTCTGGGAAAATTTCTGGGGGAAAGAAGAGTGGAAGACGTTCCCTTCTACCTGAGGCAAACAGCTTTAAGATTTCACTGCTTGTGGGACCAGCAGTTGGCGTAATGACTATGTCGCTGGACTCCCATGCAGTTGACCATGGTTCGAGTCCTAGACCCAGTAGCTTAAACTCACCTTGGACACATGTGCGTGCATGCCCAAGATCCCAAGAGGAGAATGGAGGAGAAGGGATTGCGGGGTGATTTCTCACTTTCTTTCTCTCTGTTTCTCTCTTTCTGGCGAGTGCATGTGCCCTATAGCAAAAACCTCTCCAAGAAAAAAAAGAGATTTCACTACATGTGTGTGTGTGGGGGGGGCAGTAGGTGGCATAGCTGGACCCAACGGCTTGAAACTCACACTGGGTGTGTGTGCATGCGTGCCCAAAATCCAGAGAGAAAACTGGAGGAGAAGGGATTGTGGCATGGCCATCATCCCTAGGGAGTGATTTTTCACTTTCTGTCTCTCAGTCTTTCTCTGTGTCTCTGGGCAAGCACACACACCCTATAGCAAAAATCTCTTTAAAAAAGAAAAGATTTATCTACTTACAAATCGTGTATAGGTTTGGGGTCTAGTATCCAGGGTATGTAAAGAATTCTTATAATTTAACAATAAAATGGCAAATAACCAAATTAAAAATGGCCAGAAATATGGATAGACATTCCTTCAAATATATATAAATGGCTAACAAACACTTGAAAAGATGCTCTACATCATTAGCCAACAGGCAAATGCAAATCCAAGCCACAATGATACACCATTTCACAACTACTAGAATGACTATAGTAATAATTTTAAGAAGACAGATAATAACGATTACTGGGAAGTACGTGGAAAGATCGGAACCCTCACCCATTGCTGGTGAGAATGTGAAATTGTGCCACTTTGGAAACCATTCCTCAACAGGGTAAACATAGATCTACCACATGACCAAGCTGTTTCACTCCTAGATACACACCCAAGAGAATATAAAAACATATGCCCTCACAAAAAGTTGTACACGAATGTTCACAGCCACATGATCTATAATAGCCAAGACGTGGAAACAAAACAAAATGGGGTATATGCATACAATAAAACATTATTCGGTCATAAAAAAGAGTGAAATCTACAACATGGATAGACCTTAAAAACAGTATGCTAAGTGAAAGGAGCCAGGTAAATAGTAGGCATTGTATGATTCCATTCCTTTCTTCTGTTCTTTCTTTTTTTCATTTTTCTTTTCTTTTCTCTTTCTTTCTTTCTTTCTTTCTTTCTTTCTTTCTTTCTTTCTTTCTTTCTTTTCTTTCTTTCTAGAGAGATTTTTGCTATAGGGTGCATGTGCTCACCAGAGAGACAGAGAGAGACAGAGAGATAAAAGGTGAGAAATCACCCCCCTGGGGGGATGGCCACACCACAATCCCTTCTCCTCCATGGTCCTCTTCAGAATGCACTCACATGTGCCCAGCATGAGTTTTCATTCGCCGGGTCGGAAACTTGAACTGTGGCTGACTATGTGGGAGTCTAGTGATGTAATCATTACACCATCTGCTGGTCCCCTCTTTTTTCTTTCTTAAAAAATTTGCTATAGAGTACATGCATTAGCTGGAGACAGATAGAAGGAGAGAGGGAAGGAAAGTGAGAGAGAGCATACTGTCCCCCCACCCCCACCCCCCCAGTCCCAGGGAATGACCAAGAAGCAATCCCTTCTTCATTCTCCTTTCAAGATTTTGGGCATGCACACACATACACCATGGATTGAACCACATAGTGGGCCATGTAGCTGCCATAACCACCAGGCAACACAGCTGGTCCATGTATGATTCCACTTCTTCGAAATGTCCAGAATAGGCAAATCCATAATGACAGACAGCAGAGGAGTGCTGGGAAGGGTGTGGGAGTGACTGCTAATGGCTATGGGGTTTTCTGCCCAGATGATTAAAATGTTCTGGAATCACATAGCAGAGATGGTTCCACAACTTTATGAATATATTAAAAACCACTGACTATATACTTTTTAAGGGTCAATTATAGTTGAATTATATCTCAACTAAAAAAGGTCTCTACTTCATTAGGTATTTATTCTGAATACTGGCTTTCAAAACAAAACCATATTTAGAGGCACGCCTAAAATCTGTATTATACACATATAAGATGTAATGTTTAGTCCTTTGTTATATCTGACTTTATGTATAATATGTACATATACATAGACACACACACACATATGCTTGCGTGTATAGAAATCGAAATAAATAATTGAAAAAATATTTGGGTGCTATAACTAAAGCAGTCCCGGCTAACTTGGCCAAGGCAAAGAAGGTTCTGGGTGGCTCGGCGTGGGCCCCCGTGTATCTCAGCCTGATGAGACCGCCCGGAAGTTTGTATGACTACTTGTGACAGGTGACCAGTGGTGACAGGAGGAAAAGGCGCGACGCGCGTTTGTGACGTCATTTCGGCGCGACCTGCGTCGTTGCCATTGAGGCTTTAGGCTTCCTATCTGAACGATGCCTAAAGTGGTGTCCCGCTCGGTAGTGTGCTCCGACACCCGGGACCGGGAGGAATATGATGACGGCGAGAAGCCCCTTCACGTCTACTACTGTCTGTGCGGCCAGATGGTTCTGGTGCTGGGTGAGTCCTCGGAAATTGGAGGGCGTTTGCGAGGAGCCAGACTTGGGGTGGTTTGGTTTTGTTACTTAGAGACGGGGTCTACTGTGTTACCCAAGCTGACCTCAGACTCGATCCTCCGATCTCAGCCTCGCGAGTTGCTGAGACCAGAGGCATTTGCCACCGCGCTCAACTTGAGACTTCAGGCTGTTGAGGGCGAACTTCATTGGCTGCGATCCGACAGCCACCTACCCTTGAAGATGATTGGGCTTTGTCCCTGTCAAAAAATGGAAAGTTATCTGTGGATGATAATGTGTCTAGTAATGCCTTCGAATGGACTAATAGTGTATTCATGCTGGGAAAATTCATTTTGTATGCTGTAAAGATATACAGTGATTGAGTATTAAAAAAAATAAGAAAGAAACAAAGAAGAATATTAAAAGGGCCTGCAGGTGGTATGGTGCTTAAGTGGTTAAGGCTGCTGAACTCCCACATGGCTGACCCTGGTTTCAGTCCTGAGCCTGTGGGCTTGCTTGCTCACTTTTCTTCTTTCTCTGTCTTTCTCTGGTCAACCTCAAAAAAATAAAATGATGACAATGATTAAAATGAAATAAAATAATTCTAGAAATTGTTAAAGTGTTTTTTTAAAGAATATTAAAAAAAGAATCCTCCCTATACATCCTCACCCCACATCAGGTGTTTTTTTTTCTGTTTGACTTGCCTTTTTTTTTTGGAGAGGTTTTTGCTATAGGGCGCGTGCGCTCGACAGAAAGAGAGAGACAGAGACACAGAAAGCGAGAAATCAACCCCCGGGGGGATGGCCACACCACAATCCCTTCTCCTCCTTTCTCCTCTTGGGATCTTGGGCACACACGCACATGCGCCTGGCATGAGTTTAAGCCACCAGATCCGGGACTCGAACCGCGGTCGACTACATGGGAGTTCAGCGACATAGCCATTATGCTAACTGCTGGTTCCTCTGGTTGACTTTCTGACTATATTCAGACTTCTCTCAAAACTGAGCTCTTCTTTCAGAAAACATATATGTATAGTATATATACTATATATACATACTGTATCTCTTTTTCAATGCACTCTCTTTAAAAACTGTAGCCTATAATCTTTCTCTGCTGGTTACAAAGATGTCATAGTGACTCTTACAACAGATGAAAATGAAACTCTGCGTGGATTCTACATCCCTTCCAGGTATAATCCCATATCTTCTTTTTTTCCCTTAAAATTGGAAGGTCTAAAGGCATGGGAGAGTAACTGTGGATCCTAGAGACAGTGTGGGAGGAGGGTGGGAAATGGGGGAGGATGAGAGGGAGGGAATCAAGGGGAAAAAGAAAGAAGGAAAACATTTAAGGGACACAAAAATGGAAAATGATCTGTTGATGATAATATGGTAATATGTTTGACTGAACCAGTATACCGTGTATTCATGATGGAAAAATTCATTTGGTGTGCCATAATGATACACAGTGGTTGAATGTAACAAAACAAAGCAAGAAAAAAGAAAAAAAAATTGCTATAGGGTGTGTGTATGTTCACATGGAGAGAGAGAGAAAGTGAGAGAGTGCCTCCCCCCCAGGAGAGATGACCACGTGACAAACTCTTCTCCATTCAGGATTTGGGGCACATGCACACATGCACTGGGCATGCTTTTCAAGCCACCAGGTCCAGGACTTCAACTGCACTGTCAGCCATGTTGAGGCGGATCCAACCGCCTTAACCACCACGCCACCTGGCTGGCCCTCTTTGCTTCTTTTATGGCAAACGTTCTCAACAGAGTTCCCCATATGGGCGGTCTCTGCATCCTCACTTCTCATTCCCTCTTAACCTCACTTCAGGTAGGCTTTCCTTCCCACTTACCATCTAAGCCATATTTGTTAAGGTTGCTACCTGAGCTCCATGTTACCAGGTTCGGTGGTCAATTATTAATGATTATTTAAATTTTCCACTCAGCGTTATTTGACAATCATTCCATTCTTCTTGAAACACCTTATTCATTTGTTTCCAAGACTCCATACTTTCCTGATACTCCTCCTGGTTTAAGTTTTGTCCTTCCTCAGTATCTGGCTTTTTTTTTTTTTTTTTTTTTGAGAGATTTTCACTGTAGGGCGCGTGTGCTCGCCAGACAGACAGAGAGAGACCTAGAGACAGAAAGCGAGAAATCACCCCCCAGGGGGGATGGCCATGCCGTAATCCCTTCTCCTCCATTCTCCTCTCGGGATCTTGGGCACGCACGCACACGCGCCCGGCGTGAGTTTTAAGCCACCGGGTCCGGGACACGAACCGCGGTCGACTACGTGGGAGTCCAGCGACATAGCCATTACGCTAACTGCTGGTTCCCTGGCTCTTTTGTTTTTTTAAATTGGTGCTCACCAGGGAGAGAGAGAGTGATACAGAGACAGAGACAGACAGTGACAGTGAGAAATCACACCCCCCCCCAGGGGAAATAGCCAGGCTGCAATCCCTTCTCTGCCAGTCTCCTCTTGGGATTTTGGGCAAGAATACACCTGCCTGACTTGTTTTTCCAGCCTCCAGGTCTGGGACTTGAACTACACAGTCAGCTGTGTGGATTCCAGCTGCCTTAACCACCACACCACTGGTTGGCCTCCCTCTGCTTTGTAACTGTACCTAATTTGTTACCTGTATGTTTTCATCATTTGTGGGTTAAAATTCCTCAATTTGGGTGGGTCATTTGCATACTATTAATAAAATATCATTTACCTTCTCCTTTTCTTAGCACTCAGCCACTTTTTTCCAATGCCCTTCAAATAGGCATTCCAGGATGCTTGATTGTCCCTTCTGATTCTAATACATTATAACCCAAACTAAGTACAATGATCACGGAAATACTCAGTGCTGAGAAGGACTTTGCAAATAATATAATCCACTCATCTTTCAAATGAGGAAGAAGTTCTTGAAGGAAGAAGTGATTTACCAGAGATCACCAGGGTAATAACAGAGCCAGGACCAAAACCAAGGTCTCCTGATACCAAATCATTTTTAGTTGAAAAATTCAGTAATAGGCTTTAATAAGCACAGTAATTATAGTAGAAAATTATAGTGCTAAGAGCCCTACTGAGGACTTCTGATTGACTTAGGGTAATTTTCAATGACTCTAGTGATCAAGTATTTTTCCATTCCTTTAGACTGTCAGTTAGAGAAGTTACCCATGAGGCCCCGGGACCGGTCACGTGTGATTGATGCTGCCAAACATGCCCACAAGTTTTGTAACACAGAAGATGAGGAGACTACGTATCTTAGGAGGTAAGAAGTTGTTGCTTTCTGTCTAATTTTCCTGCTATGTTGGGATTGATTTCTGAAGAACATATTGGATCGTCAGAAAAGTCATGACATATATTTTTCACGTTTTTCTATGCGCAAATGCGTCATAACTTTTCTGACGACCCGATAAATATTCCCTCTAGTGCTGAACCTCCCAACCAGTTGGGCCTGTACTTTGACATTTGTGGTAGTTCTCTCACTTCTGTTAATGCAGCTTTGGCAATGGGGCTTCTTATTGCACTTTGTCCAAATGTTGCTGCAGTGTAATTCTGTTGCCATTTGATAGCAATAACTTGGTTAAAAGTTACAGGTTAGGGGACCAGCAGTTAGCGTAATGGCTATGTTGCTGGACCCACATGTAGTCGACCGTGGTTTGAATCCCAGACCTGGTGGCTTAAAACTCATGCCAGGCACGTGTGCATGCATGCCCAAGATCCTGAGAGGAGAATGGAGGAGAAGGGATTGCGGTGTGGCCATCCCCCCTGGGGGGTGATTTCTCGCTTTCTGTCTCTCTGTCTCTCTCTGTCTGGCAAGCGCATGCGCCCTATGGCAAAAACCTCTCCAAATTAAAAAAAAAATAGTTACAGGTTTGATTTTGTTCAACTTGTAATCTTTTGGTACACACCATGTGCCAGGCACTGAGCCCAGTACTGGATCTGTGAAGGTGTATAAATTATGCTCTTGGGCCAGCCAGGTGGCACGGTTAAAGTGGTTGGATCCCACATGACCAACTGTGAGTTTCAAGTCCTGGACCCAGCAGCCAGGTGTGTTAAAAAACATGCCAGGTGTGTTGCATGCATGCCCAAATCCTGGGAGGAGAATGAAGGAGAAGGGATTGTGGCATGGCCATCCTTCCCGGGGGAGGATTCTCATTTTGTTTCTACTTTTCTTTCTCTCTCTCCAGTCAACGCATGTACCCTATAGCAAATTTGGAAAACAAATAAAAAGTATATGTTTTTTGTTTTGTTTTGTTTTGTTTTTGCTATAGGGCGCGTACGGTCGCCAGACAGACAGAGAGAGACAGGGAGACAGAAAGCGAGAAATCACCCCCCAGGGGGGATGGTCACGCCACATTCCCTTTTCCTCCATTCTCCTCTCGGGATCTTGGGCACGCACGCACATGCGCCCAGCATGAGTTTTAAGCCACCGAGTCCGGGGCGCGAATCACGGTTGACTACGTGGGAGTCCAGCGACATAGCCATTACACTAACTGCTGGTTCCCTAAAAGGATATGGTCTTTTACCATTAAATAGCTTATGGCTTGGGGCCGGCAAGTGGCACAGTGGTTAAAGGCGCTGGACTCCCACCTAGCCGACCACGGTTCAAGTCTTGGACCTGGTGGCTTTCGTTTCTCCCTCTCTCTCTCTCTCTCTCTCTCTCTAATCAAGCTGGAAAATAATAATGATAAGAATAATAAATAAGGTTAAATAAAAATAATTCCTTAAAGAAAAAAAAGAGCTTATGACTCAGCAAGGAAATAGGCTACCTGTTGTGATAAAGAGAAATACTGGTATTGTGAACAAAAGGCTGTGGGAAGACAGGTGGGAGTGGGTCATTCTACCTAAAGGATGGTCAGGGAAGGCTCCAAAAGATGGTGACATTTGTGTTTGGCCCGAACCAGGATTTCACCAAGTAGACCAGGGACTGAGGAACATTCCTGGTGGGTGGAATATGGAAGCATTGAAAATATCAAACATGGTGTGCTTGGGAAATTGGAATAGTGTGGCCAGAGCACAGGTTATTTTACAGGAAGAGGTTCATGTCTAATAGGCTGAGAACAGAGAAAAACGCTGACGTGGACAAGCTTGGACTTAATCTGTAGGCGATGATGAACTATGTCCGTTTTTTAAGTAGGGGAATTGACATTGTTAGATCTATGGGGAGTCCTTAGTATAATTGCAACCTAGGAAGGGCTAAAATTACATAGAAAGTGGGGAGCAAGAAGGACTGAAGATTTAAAAAGCACCCAAAAGTGGGCCTGTTGGTGGCATGGTGGTTAAAGCACTTGTATCCCACATGTCTGACTGCATGCTTTAAGTCCCAGACCTGATGACTTCAGAAACAGGCCAGGTGCATGTGTGTGTGTGCATGTGGGCTCAAAATCCCAAAAGGAGAGAGAGAGGAGAAGGGATTTCAGTGTGACCATGCCCCATGAGGGATGCTTTCTCACTTTCTCTCTCTCTGTTTCTCTCTGGTAAGCTCACGTGCCACCTAGAATAATTACAAAATAACTGTATGTATTTGAACAGAACTAGGAGAAACTGGTGATGCAGAAAATGAGAGAGAGCGAGCGAGAGAGAGAGAGAGTTTCAAGGTGTGTGTGGGCAGTGGGTAGGGTGGTTAGCAACAGATGTCAAATGCCACAGAGGGGTCAATCCTAGGGAATTGAAAAGTCCTTCCATTCATTCAGCAAATGTTCCGTTTACAGAGTTCCTATTATGTACCAGGTACTATCCTAGAAGTAAGCCTGAAATATACCAGTGTGTTAGTTTATTAGAGCTGCCATAATCAAGTAACAAACTGGGTGGCTTAAAGCAACAGAAATTAATGTTCTCACAGTTCTGGAGGCTGCAAGTCTGAAGTCGGGATGTCAGTAAGGTCATGCTCTCTCTCGAGGTTCTAGGGGAAGATCCTTTCTTGTCCCTTCCTAGCTTCTGCCGTTTTGCTGGCAGTCCTTGGTATCCCTTGGCTTGTCAGTGCATCATTCCAGTTGCTGCCTACATCATCACATGGCCTCCCCACACCTCTTCTCTTCTTATAAGGACACCAGTCATATTTGTATGAAAGGTTCATTTCACTCTAGCATGACCTCATCTTAAATAATTCTATCTGCAATAACCCCAGTTACAAATAAGGTCACATTCTGAGGTTCTTGGAAGGACATGAGTTTTTTTTAAAAGATTGATTTCTTTATTTCCATTTGTAATTATTTTTCCAATTTGACCAGTGAGAGACAGGGTGAGAGAGAGAAAGGGAAAGTGAGAAAGCAAGCCACCAGGTCTGGGGCTCAAACTGTGGTTGGCTATGGGGGAATCCAGTGTCTTTAACCACCACTCCACCTGCCAGACCCCGGAAAATGATTTTTTAAGAGATATTACCCCATCCAGGAAAGTGAGTAAAAAAGAACTCCACCCTTATAGAATTTATATTCTAATATTGGACCAGAAAAAGCTACAAGTTGACATCTAGCTATGTTTAATTTAAGAAAACTTTTTTTTTTTGGCTATAGGACATGTGCACTCACCAGAGAAACAGAGAGAAGACAGACAGAAAGTGAAAAATCAGCTCCCTAGGGGGATGGCCACACTGCAATCCCTTCTCCTCCATTCTCCTCTTGGACGAGAGGCACGCTTGATCTTAGGCACGCATGCACATGTGAGTTTAAGCCACCGGGTGTGGGACTTAAACTGCAGTTGACTACACGGGAGTTCAGCGACATAGCCATTATGTCAACTGCTGGTCCCAGAAACCAAACTTTTGAAGACAATGATAAGTAACTTTCAGTAACAAATCATGTATCAAGCACCATTATGACAACTGGGCTTCTAGAATTGAGCAGCTGAAGAGAAAATCGGTTATAAACAAGATACAACTGGGCACAGGTTATAAAACTTATGAAATTCACAAATGAAGGCCCTCCAGGAGACACTGGAAAACACTCCATTATGGTATATAGAAAGATTTATAAATAATATGTTCTCACTCATTAGTGGAAGCTCAATGATTTAGTTACTTAGAAGTGAAGAATGGGGTGCCAGCCAGTGGCATACTGGTGAAGGCTCTGGACTCCCATATGGTTGACCATGGTTTGAGTCCCAGACCTGGATTGCCATGTCACAATCCCTTTTCCTCTGTTCTCCTCTGATCTTGGGCACACATGCACAGGTGCCCTGCATGAGTTTCAAGCCATCAGGTCTGGGACTTGAACCATGGTTGGCCATGTGGGAGTCCAGAGACAAAAACTGCTATGCCATCTGCTGGCCATGTAATTGCATATTTATTTTAGGATTGGCTTATCAATTAATGCAAAAAGTCAGCCTGAATTTTGGTAGGGATTGTATTGAATCTATAGATTCATTTGAGGAATTTTTGCCATCTTAACAATATTAAGTCTTCCAATCCATGAACCTAGAATGTCTTCACATTTATTTAGGTAATCTGTAATTTCTTTAAAATTTGTGGGTTTTAGTGTATGATTCTTACACTTCTCTTGTTAAAGTTTTTCCTAATGTTGAATAGAAATGATGAGAGTGGCATCTGTGTCTTGTTTCTACTCTTAGGGTGAAAGCTTTTAGTCTTCACCATTGAGAATGATGTTAGTTTTATGTTAGTTAAAAGACCTTGCTTTTTCATACATGCCTTTTTTTGCATTGTTATTTATTTAATTTTATTTATTCATTCATTTATTTTAATTTGACCAGAGATAGAGAGATAAAGTGACAAAGCAAGATGCCAGGTCCAGGAGTCAAACTACGGTTGGCCATGTGGGAGTCTAGCGCCTCAACCACCACGTCACTTGCCAGCCCCCATAGACGCCTCTTATGAGGGAGAGGAAATTCTCTTCTATTCCTAGTATATTAAAGGGGCTTTGAATTTTGTCAAGTGTGTGTCTATGGAGATGATTATTTTTTCTTTTTCCTATGGCGTATTATGCTGACCCCCGCCCCAGTTTTATTGAGGTACAATTGACAAGTAAAGATTATATATATTTAAAGTGTTAGATCCTAAGCATGCATGCATGTACTCCTGAGGTGTTTCAGGCTGACCAGGCTAAGAATCCAAACTCATGGCTGGCCATGTGACCCCCAGCATCACCCCTCATTATGCCACCAACTCTATCAGGACTGGGCCTTCCTGTGTTTTCTTGTCATAGTTTTATGGTCTTACATTGAAGCGTTTAATCCATTTTGAGTTAACTTTATATGGTGTGAGATAAGGGCTCAATGTCATTCTTTTGCCTCTGAATATCTGATTTTCCCAAC